AGTGGTCACACAACAGCATTGGGTTCTGTGTGCTTCTCCTGTGCCGCCCTCATGTCTGTGTTAAATATGGAACAATGAAGTCACCTATTTGCATCTGAACTGAAATTATACTTTCCGCTCTAGTCACATATAAATATGAGATGCTCAAGCCTCAAATCTGCACGTCATTGATGTTCCTTTAAACTTCCTTTGCATTTTTTGCCTCACAAACTGGATTTGACATCGTTTGGCTGGGTCTTGTAGTCAGGCAGATTAGAATCTCATTCTGCTAGTCATGCCTGGCTGTTGGGCTCACATGCTCAGATCTACATTAGGAAAAAGCATTCCAATTAAGGAGTTGGTGTAATAAACCTTCAAATAATAGTTATGTTATTTTACAATAGGTTGTTTTGAATCAATAGCTCCTGTGATGTGACACAGAGAAATGTCCATATTTTTGTACTTTATACCATATTTCAAAGAAGATATAATTAGAAAATAACCACAAATAATGGGCATGATCCTTACATAATGAAAAGAGCCGAGTTTTTCACTGAACTAAAATATATTTGCCTGTCGTCGAGACGGTAGATACTGTATAAGCTATTGCGTTACATGACAAAATATTATAGTAAATACTAGTGTTTGGAGGCATAATATAGATAATTACTTAAATTAGTGGTAATTATATTGCAGCTGTGGTAAAACACATCTGTAGTAATAAACAAATTATTCAATAGGCTTCAGTTTTTTTACACTATAATTGTCAACCATAATGATGCACCACAGTTTGCACTAACGTTACAGTATTTATTACAGTTTATCAGTTTACCATGCTACTGCATTCTGTAGCATTCATTAACAAAGAGTTGTACACATTATACACCTTACTATGTGATTCAAAAACATGTTTAATATAAATAACTAAAGTTTTTATCAAAAGCAGCATACAAAAGTGTGGACACATAGAATGGATTATTATTTATTTATTTTTGTAAGGGGGTAAAAGAGCTCCACAATAATAACTGATTTTGTATAAGTGGTGGTGTTTGTATCTGATCTATATAACACATTAACATATAATACACATAGCTAGATCTGTATATAATATGTATTGGTGCTGTCAAACAAATTAGCACATTCAAAAAAAGTTTGTACACATGATTGTGTTTAAAAATTGATTATCAAATTCCACCTTTTCTTCTGTTTTTAAGCCAATTTTTAGAACTTTCCCCCCCCTTTGAGCAAAAACTTTTGATAGTCTATAAAAGCTGTTCAGCATTTCTTATTGTGGCTGATTTAAACAATTATAAACAATGTAAAACAGAAACATTTTGTTGTTCTGATAGTGATTCCTATGTAGAAGATTCACTTCCTGGCCTATTTGAATTTTGCACGTCATTAATGACGTCATACCTATTGGTTTTAGTGACATAATAAATCTTTGTAGGTATACTGTTAAATACCATTTTATGTCAGAAGGTAGTTTAATGCTAAACTCTATGCAAACTGAATTATTATTTCATAGGTTTGTGACCATGTGTTAGCTTTGATGCTAATTGCTAACTATATGCTAGTCTACTCCTAAACAGTGACAAAGCACATTCTTTTTTTAAAGTTTATATGGAGAAAATACATCTCTGGACTACACAAACATCTGGCAGATGCTATTTATAATGAGATTGTCCTCATGACCAAGTGGATCTTTTTAGACCTTGGAAACTATTATTTCAAGATTATTTCATTATCTATCTGAATTTTTGCATTTTTTATGTGTGTGAATGCAGCAAATACTTTGGGACTAACCAAATGTTCCTTCACATGTTTTATTACATTGATAATAACTTTAGCTAATTGTTTAAAGTTGCGGTAATTATACTTGCCAATTTCTTTCTCCTCATAACTCACACCTCTTGGATCCACCAAATCTAAGTCCCCTGCAGACATGCCATAGAAACACTGTTAACATTTAGCTCACTGTCCAATAAGAGGACAGGCTGGACCAATAACAAGCTGCAGTTGGTTGTGCATTAAGGTTTCTAAGGCACACACACTTTTCTGACGCTCAATTCCCCGCGGTCACGTGTGTCTTTCTCCGGTGTTGCAGAGGCGGCTAGCAATACACTGTGGTCCAAAAGCAGACATTTTCGGTCCTACAAATGGAGTAACCTCTAATAAATCCACCGGCCTTGAATTTATAGCGCTTACAGATGTAATTTACATGATCCTGTGGCATTTATTACTTGTTCATTATGCGCTGGGTGTAGGTGATTAATATTTTCCCACAGCATTTATGGATTACTGTGGCTATTCGGTTGCTTGTCATTGTTTTGGATCCATCTGCTCATGCTGAACTGAAGCATGGACAGTGACAATTAAGCAAGTTTGACACAGTTGACAAGGACAGCCTTTGTCAGGCACGAGCCATCTGGAGGGTCCTCCCTGTCCTTCGTTAAAGAGATGCAAACACTGTGATCCTATTTTTGCTCAGGACATCCTCCCTCTTGATGGATAGATCACATGTATGTGAACAGAGGGGCCTGAAAAAGGCAGACAAGAAGGCAGATTGCCATCCATAAAACAATTGTTCCTAAAGCAGACCACCAACCACTGCTGCATTTGATGGCATGTATTAAAAAAGGCCTGAACTGTAGACAACAATTAGTGAAATAGTCAGGATAAATATAATTCATGAAGGAAGTTTAATTGTTGACTGATGTACTAGCACATACACAAGCCAGTGAGTTTGTGTTTGACTGAAATTACATTTTTAATATTTACACCTATATATTATGTAGAATATATTGTTATAACAAACATGCATGATATTTTGTTATTCCATTATATGTTGTTTTGGGAAATATAGTGAATAATTATTTCTTAATTAAAGTTTGTGCATGCCTTTTAAAAGCATTCAAATGTTTGTATGGTGTTCATACATAAAACACATTAATAGGCTACTTACTTACATGTATATACATTTGTACACTACATCTGGCTCACCACAACATGCCCAAGTCGTTAATTGAAGACAGTAAGGCTCTATTTCCTAATATTAGTTCATTAAACTGAGGAAAATTGTATGATCAAAACTTGTAAAGCATTTGTTAAACTAATGAGATGTTAGTTTGTAATGCATTGTTTAATAACTCATTAAAATAAATCGAAATAACTAATTTTTTTTTTACTTTATTATTTTTATTCACTTTAACAATTAAAAAATTAAGCTAGTTGTTAGTGTTAAGACCTTAATAAGACCTCATTGTAGTGTTACATTTAGTACATTATAAACATTTTATGTGCTGCCACCTCACAGCAAGAAGGTCGCTGGTTCGAGCCCTGGCTGGGTCAGTTGGCATTTCTGTGTGGAGTTTGTATGTTCTCCACGTATTCATGGGTTTACTCCAGGTGCTCTGGTTTCCCCCACAGTCGAAAGACATGTGGTATAGGTGAATTAAATAAGCTAAGTTGGTCGTAGTGCATGTGTGGGTGTGAATGTGAGAGTGTATGGGTTTTCCCCAGAGCTGGGTTGTGGCTGGAAGGGTGTAAAACACATGCTGGATAAGTTGGCAGTTCATTCTGTTGTGGCGACCCCTGATTAATAAAGGGACTAAGCCGAAAAGAAAATTAATGAATAAATAAAACCACCATCCCCCTCTTTATTTATTTTTTTCAGTTTATGTTATAGTCCGCTTGAACTAGAAGTTGCTGAGACTTTTATTTCAGTTTGTTGAGGTACTTGCAACTGAAATAGGATACTGAGTAGAGAGAAGAGCTTTCTTTTCATTCCCTCATAACAAACTAATGGTAAGAGGAGGCCTGGTTAAGAATATTGTGGCTGATACCATCAAACTGATGTCAACAGAGAACAATCACCACTGCAAACACGGAAGCAAATGGTCAGAGTTTGATTAAAGATTACCAAAACAAACTTCAGTGGATTAACTTGTATGGATTAATTGATCACGTAAAGTATAGCATCATGTGCTGGTAAAAAAAAGAAGGTTGTACGTTTTGATTTCACGCAGACTTTAACATTGTGATAATCTCATGTCTCCCCATTAAAACTTCAGCAATTAAACCAATAACAAAATTGTAAACCTAATGTTTAATAATGGCGACGCAGTGGCGCAGTAGGTAGTGCTGTCGCCTCACAGCAAGAAGGTTGCTGGTTCGAAAAATGAATGAATATATGAATGTTTAATATATTTTTTATTATTATTCAAATGATATTTTTTTTTATTTTATCAGCACAACTTATTAGTCCAACATGACATTTCTCATTTGATAATTTCAAACATAGATAACCAGATTTTTAGAAGCACCTATTTTACTTGTTATTATGCTTTTATTACACTTACTGGTAATTCTATACTTGACTTGTTATTATACTTTTATTACACTTATTGATGCATTTATACCAATAGGTATCTCAAGTAAACACAATATTTTACATCATACAATTCCAATGTTTCAACGTAAAGTATCATCACTACTTCCTCCAACTCTGTTCTTTCCATCAGATTTGCAGCTCATAGTAACGGTTCGACCAATGGGATGTGTACTTCCGCTCTTCGATCAAATTCATTGGATCTTGAGAAACACGCGCCTGCAAATTATGTACAAACTCAGACTTTAGCAACTAGTTGGAAGTGCTGCGCGTTCTGATTGGCTCCAAATCTGGAGTGTGCGCTCTCCACGGCCCCTGTAGTGCCAGTGATCCGTTTGAGGCGAGTCTATTGTCTACCAAAGAAGGGGTGTCAAAACTATGATGTCACTTGTGAATGAAACGACACCGTTGCACACTTTGAAATGAAATCAAATCCTTATGAACTCGGCCTTTTTTCGTCTTTTTAATGAGTTATTATATACATTATCAGGTAAACGTATGCACAATGAGAGTCTTTGCAGCACACGTATCGGTTATAAACAGAGCCCCCCCGTGCTGTGCGCACTGAATGGACCACTCCACATGAAGTGAAAGGGCCGGTAGACCCGTAGAGCTGATTGAAATGAAGCTACCGTTTCGTCATGGTAGGACGGAGTGGATTGTAGAGCTGGTATCTACTTTCTGTTCTGTCGGACTGTTTAAGAGATTTTTATAAAAATGCTTTATCAAGTTATACCGGATGAGTGAAGCCTGGTGCTTTGACAGCTTTCATATGACACGCAGTTACTCTGAAGCAGGCATTCAGACTGTTAAAGTTGGGCTGTCCGTTCAGTCAGACGAGCTTTTTTATGTTTCCTTCGTCCATCTGTTGAAAATTAGATTTTACTCAAGTTGGTGAGCGTTTAGTCGATCACCCGAGGACTCAGACCATGTACAATACAGTGTGGAATACGGAGAAAGAAGATGACGACTGGAGAGACGTGATGATGCCCTATTCCACTGAATTAATATTTTACATTGAAATGGACCAGCCGCCAGGTACAGATATAACTAACAGCACGTTTCGTTCACCTTCATAATGTAAATTATGTCATTTCCTTACTGCGATGTTGTTATAAACCTACAGTATATGACTCTTTTTTTTCCTTTATGAAGCACAAAAGGAAACGTTTAGGGACTGACAGCCTAACTCACCATATACTTACATTGTATCATTTTACAATACATTGAAAAGTAATGGCGATTGAGATGTCATTCTTTTATCTCCCATTGTGCTTCGTGAAAAAGAGAAAGAAATGTCGCAAAATGTGCCATCTAACATTGTAGTCGGCTCAGACAAAAGGAGCTTGCGCCTCTTCATGGTTGAAATGTATTTTATAGTAGTGTTACCTACAATGAATCATCATTGAGTTGACATCCAACGTTACAAAAAACCTGTCATATCAAAACCTTTCTATTTTTGACAGGTTGTCAGTAAAATGTGCCCCTAATCGTGCTCAAAATACAAAGTCTGCATTAACATTATCGTGCATATTTTAAATTAATGATAAGCGACTTCTCTTTCAGACAAGGGAGCCATATTAAAGCAGCTTTCACCTTATACAATGCAATACTGTTTAATTTTCTACTTTATATTAAAGTAATTGTTAACCCAAGTGTGAAAATACTGAAATGTACTTAATCTTTTGTTTAAAATCTGACTTTTCTTTAGTAGCACACAAAATTAGATGTTTGACAGAATGTACCTCATTTCCCATTCGCTTTTCAATGCATCTTTTTATGTAATGTATATAAATAGTAAGTGAGGGGTCATTTTTCATTTTTCTTATAGATTAAACTAGTTTTAAAGGTATGACTGGTATATACTTTATATATACGCAGTTATGTTGGTTAGCATAATATAATTTATGCTCTGTAAATTGTTCAATGAAAAAAAAAAAAGTTTGTACAAAGATTGTGTTACAGGTCTTGCTATAGTCTGACAGGTTTCCCCTCAGGAGATTCGAATGTTTTGCATGGCTCGCCACAAATGGTATCTAAATGCAAAATGTGGAGAGTTCAGAATGCATTCTCTGAATTGATTTGTCACTTTTAGTAACGTTATACTCGATCCGAACTGTTCTCTTTTTCCAAGGCATCTTAGTAAATATGGACTTTACACAGCTTATAGTCACCTAACGGACTCAATGCTTAAGGCTTTTCAGTGGTCTTTAGAAGCGACTTTCCCACCTTTCTAAATGTTAGTTTTGGTGTTTTGCACACTTTATTCAAATTCAGTGCTATTCATGTGTCATTTATATTAAGCGCTGACACCATTTTATTGCCATTAACAATGATGTCATAGACTGGAAACTGGATCCTATTCAGAAGTCACAGCCATAGTTGACAATGGGTCGTTAATTCACGCCGTTAATTCCTGCAATAAAAGGACAAATGACACTTTAGGAAGCGTGAAATGTGAATGGAATGGGAAAGAAACTGTGTTTGACAGTTTTGCATGAGGTTGTTCTTTAATGTGACTATTGTTTGAGGCAGAAGTGTAAAGCACATTTTGTGGATCATTTCTCAAGTCTTATCTGTAACATTTTTATGATTTTGTTGTCTTGAGTGTTGCAGCGATTGTGCTGTTTTCAAATGTACACACGCAGTTAGTAATTTCTTGGTCCAAATGCAACCTATTTAAAACAGTATGCAAAATTAAAAATGTTTCTCTGCGTTGTTCAAAGAAACAAAGCCCAATGCTCTGTCCTAACTTCCTCATTTCCTAGAAAATGAGCTGTGGTGGACTGAACGGATCTGGCAAGCAGGATTCTGGGTTGAATAGTCCTTCGATTGCTCTGCCACGGGGATGAATGAGCACAGCACTGTGTGATCAACCCACACATTAATCTTATCTTTCATTCTGTGCCACTGCACACAGGTTTATCAGATCTCTCCTTTTTTCTAGGCTTCCATTTGTCCCTATGTAGTGGCAATAGCCACTCATTGACTTATCATCTGCTTCTTCCTCAACTCTCGACACTTCATCTCAGAGACTGTGTTCGAGAAGCACTGCGGGACAGTGAAATTTGCTTGGCCCTAGAGAAGATTGGTAGATTAGAATGAACGACTGAGAAAGGAACGAAATAGGACCAGCTTCCCTTGCAGATGTTCATTAGAATATTTATTACATACGAACTCATGTGAAAGACTCTGAGGTAAAGCCCTGTATGTGTGTGCGTCTGCAAACAAGCAAGCGACCGCTTTGTTCCGTTGCAGTGTCCAATGAGCACAGGTGCCACACCGCCCCCAGGGGAAAGTTGGCCTCTGTCTCTTAGGCCCAGTGATGTGTGAGTGTAATAAAGGCTGCCAGAGCCGTGTGTTCTGGGCGGACAACAAAAGTGCAGCGACACCAAAGGGAAAGTCAGCTTCTGACATCCATTAATGGGCATTCGTATGACACAAGGGATGGAAATGTCACCATATCTCTCTTGATACATGGTTCTTTCTTTGTTCTGTGCCTTTTCAGCTTGTTCAGTCCTGAATTTATTTAGCTTGTTCATTCATAAATGTCGACAGAAAATTTATATGTTGAGAAGCAGGGTTTTTTTGGGGGGGTTTTAAAGCAGAATGTGATAGAGCGTCATTTTTCTTACTCTGTAACATGTAGGCATATATGCATAAAAATAAAACACTTATTTAATCCATATACTGATTTTTATACATTTATAACTGCATTAACCCTAATTTGACTAGTCTTAATAATTGATTTCTTATCTCATTATTACTGTCATATCTATATGTAAGTTCCTTATTTTTTGTAATGTTTTGAAAACTAGTTTACTTTCTGGATTTTGACTAGCAATGATGCGCTTGTGAGTTGTTTCTTTGCATGTGTTCGCCTCTGCATGTGTTAGCGTCTTTGCCTTGTCTCTCTCTGGGAGGAGCGCTTCCCCCTCCTACATCATTCCCCAGAGTTTTACGTTCTCTCTTCTCCATCTCATATGGTTGTGTCCACCTCCCCTTCTGCCTTCTCATTGGCTGCTGCCGACTTCTCCATTGAGAGGGTTTGTTAAGCCAGCAGCATCTGAATTTAGGAGCAGGGATTTTCCCTCTGGCTTTAGTCTGAAAGGCAGAGCGAGTGTGCGAGGGAGGGTGGAGAGAAAGCCAGAGCGAGTGGGAGAGAGAGAGGGAGAGGGAGAATAAGAGGACTCGTGTCACAGACAGCTGAGTGCAGGCTGTATACATGCAGCTCAAAAAGGATCCCGAGGAGGACGGTAAGGGAGGCACCATTCTTTTCTTTAGCGTTTTCATGGTCACTGTCTTTGCTTTCGTCATTTTTTTGTCTTATATGGCTATTGTAACTCTCTGAATAGACTGTCAGGGGAGCACAATGACAATTAGTGTTTGTCCCATTGTGTGGGAAGTGTCCTCGATCTTCTGTAGATGGAGACATGCATTGATGTCAACATTTATTAACATAAGAATTGTGCTTTTTGTGTGTGTCTATTCCGGATACATTTCATTTTCTTGTTTTGTAATTTTGTATATTTGGAAAAATTAGTCTTATGTCTGTTGTGGGATTTCAATTGCAGGGACGGTTTTTAGTCATTCATTAGGAATAGGTTGTGACAGTGCCCCGTGTCGATTTGTGTGTGGAGCCTGTATAGGTTCACATGTGGTAGTGAGTGTCCCTGATGGACTTTTTAAACCACCCATGTGCTTAGTGACACTTTTAATTCATTCCCCCTGGATCGGGACGTGGCAGTCCATGCCTGCTGCTTCTCTCAATGGCACTGTCATTACTCTCTGCCACATGCCTTTTCTCATGCTAATTCACTCTCTAATTTGTACATACAAACCCTAAACTAAACTGTCTGTGGTGTCAGTCCTTGTTTGTGCTCTCTTTTAAAGTACGGTTGCTTCATCAGATCTCACCTGTAGAACCAGAAGTTTGATGGTGTCTTTTTGTAAAACAAAATAAAAAGTAGGACTGTAGAGCATTGAGCCCTTGAGGTCTTAGCTGCACACTGTCATTTATGTTTGTTTCCTAAACAATGGACTGGTTGGTCGTCGACTGCCATAGGCTTCACCTATGGATGTATAGTTTTCTTTGTTCAGACGTGCGCAGCTCTGCAGCGTTGCACTCCTCCTCGTTCTTTCTCATCCTTTCTTTCTGACCAAGCTCTGCAGCACTGCTGATCTTCTCATTATTGCTCATCCTTCCATCATTGTCACTTTCTTTTTCTTACTTTTGCCCTTTCATCTTTCCTTACAAGTTTAGGAACTATATATATTTTTTATTAATGAAAAAAGAAATATTTGTGCAGTTTGTTTTTCATACCTTGTGAAACATGATAGGCTAAGTTTATTATATATATTTTAAAGAAATGCTTTCGCATTTGTCATTTAAATTCAGCCCTTTGTTTGCTTAGTTTTGCCATAAATCATGATCGTAATTTGTTTGAATCGGTGAATGGTAGCTTTAAAAATGACTGCAAGCTGCGATTATGTGGCCTTTCCATTGTGTGCTCCCCAGCTGCGATATCTCTGACACTAACACGGATGGGCTGACCTCCGTAATGAGATCACCTAGTCACATCTCTGCCTCTTTCTTTCATTCTTTTTTTCTGCTTTCCATACTCACAACCCAACAGTAGCTCACAAAAATACCCTAGTGTATGTGTAGGATAAAGGTGGTCACAGACTTGCTGATGGTGGGAAAACTGCTAGGCAGGAATTTGAGGTTTCAGCTGGGCTTGTGCACCTGCCTTTAGGCTGCCAAAGAGAGTGAGTAAAAAAAGGAGGGGGTCATTTCCTTTTCTGATGGCAGACTGCTACTTAAGCTCTGAAAGGCACTTTGTGATGAAATAAACTGCATCTGAAATAGAAATTGACAGACTTTTTCTTTATTTATATAAAGTTTTTTGACTGTCTTAAGCTCACAACTGTGTCTCTGAATTACGTTAGGGAGAGGAGAAGGTTAGCCTTGTGTGCTTTGGCAAATGAAATATTAATATGGTGATTATTGTGTTGGCGTAAAGGGAACAGAAGGTTATCCTTTGTCAAATGACTCTTTATAAGCTGCATTGCTGGTCCTCAACCATGTGGTGAGCATTTCCTTTGAAGTTTGTGACAGGAAACTGCACAGAGACCCCATATTCTCAAGTTGCTTCTTTCACAAAATAATATTCCTCTGAAGGCATTTTGGCCAATCTACTTCCAGACCAAGTGAAATGTAGGAATTGTGTGTTTGTGTGTGCGCGCACCTGCAGGAGCATAATTTGGGTGGGGATGTGTCCGTTAAGCTGGCTTCACTTTGACTGGTTGAAGCCGCTCACCCCACCAGACTAAGGTGTTTCCTGTGGGCTTGTGGAGGGAGGAGTTGTCACTCTTCCCAGGTCTCTTTTAACTCTGACTACAGTCTTGCTTTTTCACTCTGAAAACCGCCACTGCTTTTAATTAATGACACCCTCAAAGAAATTCATTCAAATGCCCCTCTCCCACATACAGAAACTTAAAAAAAAACTTCACTCCACAAATGTTTGCAAAGTTGGGAAGAAGTGAATCTTAAATTAGAACTTTTTGCCAACATTAAAACATATTTTTTTCTGTTATATGAACTATAAACTTTATAAATGTGTTTTTAGAGGAGCCAGTTGTGTGCAGAACAGTGGGTCATTCCACAATGAGCCAGCACAGTGATTCATTCATTGGCTGCACTGTGCGTTGGATGTCCCAGTAGGCTTTTATTTCTCTGACTCACCTCCGGTGTATTGGACATAAGTCTTGCCTCCTTTCATTCACATAAAAGATAGTGGTTTCCTTGGGTAGAAGGGCTCAGGGGGCTCAGGGGTTTCAAAAATCTGCTAGAGCTTTTATGATATCTGGATGATCTCTTTCTCTGGATTGTGCCTTCCCCAAAATGCCTTTATCAACTCCCCCTTCTTTGTCCTGGCATAGACATGCACACACTCTCATGCAAACTTGTCTCTGCCAGGTTAAGGACAGGTGGGGTATTAAAAAAAAAATTTACATAATGATGTGGCCATACATGTCCTTCCTTAACATCGCAATGATATTTTAAAAGTATCACCACGTATTGCTTGGAGTACGTCTTTGGTTTCACTTAAACGCCTTCTGAATAAACCGTGCATTGAAAGCGAAGATACATTGCTGTGTCAAAGCCACTGTTGCGAGTTTCAGCTAGGTCAGGGGGAGGTTAGTTTGGTTTGGCATTAGGTGCAGAGCTTGAACACTGCTTCTCTGTGCATTTCAGACGGACTTGCACAGTTTTTTTTTTTTGCCTCAAATTAGTACGACTTTGCCAACTGCACCTGGCTAAGCACTTGCAGATTTTTACCAAAGCACTTGTACCTTATTTAATACCCTCTAGTTTTTTTTATAACACCCTTACTATTTAACTAATCCTGCTGAAAGTTGTCGCTGCATTTTCATGTCATTTTTGTAACCATCATTCAGTTCTTGGCTGGGGTTAAAAGATTCAGAAGATTAGATGCAAGAAAGCATTCTGTGAAGACGTAACTCACAGGGTATACTTTCATAGTGAAATCTGTCTATGGTAAGGGTGTCGTGATGTACTGCATGGCTGAGCAGAACATTCTGGTAACCCCTGACCCTCAAGATAGCAAGAGCAGCATCAGCGTTAGCTTTGCAGCATGCTGTTGCGGCAGCTGTTGTTTGCTTTTGCAGGCAACAAAGGAAGGATTTCACTCAAAGGAAAGAAACCTGTTAGTTACAGATTCAGCAAGTAGCACAAAAAAAGCAACATTGGTTGTGGAGGTTATTTGTTTTTTGTTTACACTTACATGAGCCGAATGGAATATGATGTTGTTGCATTTTCCGTGAAAACTGATCTTTTGCATTTTCAGTGGAAATCACTGTTGCATTTTCCAAAACAGCTCACCTGACTTAAGTTGATGTGAAGGCGTCATAGGTTGGGAAAAATATTTAAAGGCATTCTATGGGAAAATCGAGACTTTATGTGGTAAAGGTCAATGGATAAAGCTGGGCGGTAACCTGCATGCTGGTACTACTACTTGACTAGTGTTTTAAATAATATTGTTTCTTGGATTGTGTGCTGACTTGCTAGGTTTTTCCGAAGAGTAGTGTTTTGTCTGTACTGTGGTAAATCTGTATTTTAAGTTTAAAAAAGGTTGTATTCTAACCACTTTAAGCAATTCAAACTCAAATTTAGACTTTCTTGGCAGCACAAACATATTCTTGAGGATTGTCCATGCGTGTCTACTTCTCTAAATGAACAGCCATTTGTTAACACAGACATCCACTTAGTTCAGACTCCAGGGAGATTAGATTTTCATCTGTAAGGTCACAGCAGTAACTTTTGATCTACTTCATATCTCAAGGATTGATCATGAGATTAAAAGATTTTCCACTCATTTCTTTTGCAGCTCTTCCTCCCAAGCCAACAAAACCCATGACACCAGTAAACGGCAATGGTGTGAAAGAAGCCGCCAGCGGCTCACTGCAAGAAGCAGAATGGTACTGGGGAGACATATCAAGGTAGGAGTCACTTGACAGTACATTCCATTTCTCACGTGATTGAATTTCTGTCTGTTCTGCTCTCAAATATTTCCTAAAACTTGTTAACTCTTATGACACTGCCATAATCATGTGTTTGACATGTATGTCAGTGTAGATGTCAGGTGATAGGTACCAGTGTAGTAATATGACTGCATACAGAGCCGTTGAAAATCTTGCTGGATTCTTAAAATGTTTTTTTCTCCTTTGAGGATGTCAGAACCTCTTCTTCCATTCCCTCCTTCTGATGGCTTCTATGTCGGTAGCCTGGAGGTGAAATCTCACTCGCATCTCATTCAGCAGTCCGCTCTGCTGCTGGATATCTAACAAGGCCACTGGGCGCTGCTCTGCAAACTTTTCCAGTTTTTTTTTCTTTATGTAAGCTGGTGAACTTATTTTGATCCTCCCCTTCTTTTGGCTCACTGATCCTGGAGGCATGTTCCTTTTGCCGCAGCTGTACAAAAGCAGAAAGGCAATGAAATGCGGAGAGAAACACAGTTTAAAGAGAGAGAGAGAGAGAGAGAGAGAGAGGGGTGGTTTAGTTGCCATTACTTAAGGGCATGGATAGAAGAGCCCAAATCTCCAAAATGTCAAGCAGTCTGGCCAGTTTCCAGCACAACCCATAAAACTCTCAGGTTTTAGCAGATTAGTCTGCTGCTTAGTGACCAGCTTTAGACTCGTTTGATGTCGGGTGAGGAGAAATTCTGCAGAGATGCTCACAGGCTCACCAATCTCTCAAGCCCTTGCTATCCTTTAACTCATGCAGTCCCTTTCCAGATAAACCAGAGCTTCTTTTTGCTGCGCTTTATATCCATCTGCAGTGCTTTTACTCGTTTAAGAATCATAAAGTAACTCCTAAGCGAGGTACTGCGGATTGCTGAATTACAAATGTCAAAATCCTGTTATTCTATACAACCATATAAGTATATGTTTAAAGCTTTTTAGGGGCTTTTATGTATGTTCCAGTTAAGAACATTTTAATCCAATGGAGACTGCAGTGATGTATAGGCATGGGATGATAACCTGTTTCAAGGTTTACTGTGGTTTGGAAAAGTCACTGTTTTAAAACTGTCAGAATTTTCTGGTATACTGTTCCTACATTGTTTTTACTTGTTTTTTGCGACTATTTTATGTAGTTTTTTTAGAACATATAAAACAAAATCTCAAGCAGAAAAGGACCCTCCACATCAAAAGCTACTGGTCCAAAATATTTTAAATGCTTCTTAGAATAAAATCTATTGTGTTCAATGGGGGGGAAGGAATTGTTTTTTTATCCAGACATTTAAAAAGAACATATTTTAGAGCCGTAATCACAATACTGTGAAACATTTTTCTAAAAGGTTATCATACTGTCACAACCTTATACCAGCCCATGCCTAATGACCGATTGCATCACACAGTAATGGTGTTCAGCCATGTTATGATCTTGCAAGTCTTTATTTTATTTTTTTGTTAGATTTGATATGCTTGAGATAGGGGTGTAACGGATCGCAAATCTCACGGTTCAGATCACATTATGTTTTTTAGTCACGAATCGGACCATTTTTTTGGATCAGCCACTAAGAGGAGGAGAATGTAATTTGCTTTCCATTTATTACAAAAACAGTGCTGAAAGACACTTTTAGTTTCAACAAATAGAACTTAGAACCTGCAATTTTATTAAAAATAAAATGAAAACATAATCAGCTGAATAAAAATTAATTGTAAAATAATCAGTACTGTAAATAATTCACTGTTACTACTCCTGTTGCAGATAACACTAAATGTAGAAATCTAAAATAATAATTTGTACAACCCATATTTATTTATTTTCTCATTTTCAAAAAAATATTCAGTTTTTCACTCATAAATCTTCATGTTTCATTGCTTGATGTTTAATGTTTAAAGAATTATTCAGTGGCATATTTTTGATGGCTGGTTGCTGCCACCTATTGGTTAAATAATGTAGTTGCTGCGTACGACTTTCATTGTTGGGCTTCATTAAATGCATAAGACGGTGATTTTAATCTTTACCATGAACATCAGTGGTTTTATCTAAACTATAAACTGTTATCCCAGTACTTATGTTTTATTTGACTGTTTGTAACTTTATAACTAACTCAAAAGACTAAAGACTCAATCTCTTGATTTTTTTTGCATTTTTTAAACATATTTAAATGCAGAGAGTCGAATGATTAATAAACATATGCAAATCACCATCATTTATAATTAATGTTGTGTGGGTGTTGAAATCCAGATCTTTTAATGATTAATCGTGCAGCTTACACTGAATTTGTTAATGCAGGCTAAACAAGTAGCGACAGAAAACACCTTTAATAACCTAAGAAACCCACCACATCCCGAATAACCTAAGACAACTTCCTCCATCATCATTAAATTTTACAAGAAAGCCTTAATGCTTGCATACATGTGATTTGAATGACACAAATGGCAATCTCTTACAAATTTAGTGAAGTAAAAAAAAAAGTATCAATCTGCAAGCCACACGTGTTTCCAACCGTGGGTTGTGATTCACACGAATCATGGATCAAATGTGATCCGTTACACCCCTAGCTTGAGGTAAAGTCTACATGAGGTCAACTTTTGACTTTCTTTTAAAATATGTGGGGTTCACTTCCTGTTGTTGTTTTACACAATTTTTAAAGGCCTGTTATTCATGTATTTTAGTAATTACTCTAACAATCATTACTATTCACCGAGGTGAAGGCTGTTATGCCTAGCATATTTACCTTATTTACCAAATATATTTTTTATCAAGGGGTTTTTTAATGGAAAAACAAAAATTCTCTCCGTAACACTGGCATCAGTGCTACTTAGAGATCATGTGTATGACACAGTGAGCACAGTGACAAATCTTGTTATTTCTCTGCTGTCTTCATTCACTTTAACGCATTCAAAACCAAAGTGCAATGCTGTATTTCTGGAACATCTTGTTTCATTTCAGCGTGTCACATGAGAGCAGTATAATTGTTCACAAATGTCTCACATTGCTTTGATTGCCAAGGTATGTTAGAAGCTTCTTTGATCAAAACCAGTTACTACAGGACACCTCCCTAATTAACAATGAACTTGCTGATGCACCGCAGCCTAAAAATGTACATGATTTGTTCATTTCTAAGTGCAGGAGATGACTCCTCCCACAGAAAAAAATTTGGAGTATTGCTTAGTCAAAGGCTTCTTACCTCAGCAGCACGAAGTAGGCTAAATTTACCTCTTCCTAAGAGACCGGGTCAGGGTCAGCTGAGCTCCAGCATGACTAGGCTGTTGGCTGTCAGGAGAATAGGAGGAGGGCTGGAAGTAGAGGGGTGTGACATTCCTCCTTGATAGACTAAAATGGAGAAGGGGCAGAAAAAGTAGGAAAGTCTTTGAAGACTGTCAGCTTCTCCGCTGGTCGTCTGGAGGCACTTTTAAAGCAGCAGACTGTCTGATTTCGAGACAAGAGCTGGAGGCATCAGCGTACATGTGGGCGTGCAGGACAGGGTCAACAGTTAAAGAATTCAAAGATGTCTCACTCTCTGTAGCAGACAGATGGCTGGAGCAGACAGCATCGTCACAGACCAGTGCCTTTGCCCTCTGCCAGACCAAATACTGTCAGGCAGAGTTTAGTGTGTGAAGAGTAAAGGACGGGACCACAGGAAACTTATTTATGCTTTAATTAATAGGAACAAGATTTGATGAGTGGATTATTTGCAACACAAACCGTTCTCTTTCCTTTTTTTCATTGCAGGGAAGAGGTGAATGATAAATTGCGAGACATGCCTGATGGTACTTTCCTGGTACGGGACGCTTCAACCAAGATGCAGGGAGATTACACATTAACGCTAAGGTAACACAATTTTGAAAGCTCCTTCAAGATCTCGCAGTTTGGTTTGTATTGATCTGAAGTACAACGCAATTCCTTTTATTGCCCCTTGCAGGAAAGGTGGAAACAATAAGCTAATAAAAATCTACCATCGAGATGGGAAGTACGGATTCTCAGACCCGCTCACGTTTAACTCTGTGGTGGAGCTCATCAGTCACTACAGACATGAGTCACTGGCCCAGTACAACACAAAACTGGACGTTAAGCTCATGTATCCGGTCTCCCGCTACCAGCAGGTAAATGGGTTTAGATTGTGGGTGGGGGGTATCGCTTTACAACCTCCCTTCCTTTACTTTTACCGTGCTGTCCTCCCACCTCTCCCTCCCTCCAGCCCTAAAGAGCATGTTTGCTGAATGAATTGTGCAGTTTGTTGTGAGTGAAACTGCAGAGGCAGCAGGATGCTTTTGGCATGAAATATTACTTTGTTTATTGCCACAGCAGCGCACCTCCTAAATAATTGCACACATCCACAGTGTCGAAAGGCCATCCAGGCATTTATTCCTTTCCCCCGCTCCTCCTCCCTCGCCCGCCCGGTATCTTTCTCAGACACACAGGTGCTCATTATTTAGGGGGTTCCACAAATTTAGGCCCTCGAGAGGCACTTACAGATTCCAAGATTTTTATTAATGATTCCTGGGAAAAAGAATTCCTGAAAAATGGCTTTAACTTTGTAAGCAGAATCTACCATAGGTTGCTGCGAGCAATCCTTTTATCCCCACCACACTTTTCTCCTCTCAGCAATTCATATCAATAACAACGCTTTTACTCTCGCTCTCTCAGGATCAGCTGGTGAAAGAGGACAACATTGATGCAGTGGGAAGGAAGCTCCAGGAGTATCACAATCAATATCAGGAGAAGAGTAAAGAATATGACAGACTCTACGAGGAGCACACAAAAACCTCACAGGTAAGCCTCTTAGAACATCGCTATTTGATCGATAGACATCCAACCTCTTAACTCCAGCCCCAAACGCAATGTGTATACAAACAATTCATTTGATTGCGAGAAGCCCATTAACCAAGTCTGTGAAGAGGCGCGTTCCTTTGAGGTTGCATCACATCCATTGATTTATCTTTCCTTTGATTGCAGGAGATCCAGATGAAACGTACCGCAATAGAGGCCTTCAATGAGACTATTAAAATTTTTGAAGAACAGTGTCACACACAGGAGCGCTACAGTAAGGAATACATTGAGCGATTCCGCAGAGAGGGCAACGACAAAGAGATTGAGAGGTACGCAGAGGTCACAATTAAGAGAGCTCTGGATTGTCAGCCTGTATCTAAGGGTTTTTCAATTGATCTTTCTCAGGATTATGATGAACTACGAGAAGCTTAAATCCCGTCTGGGTGAAATTCACGACAGTAAGACCCGGCTTGAACAGGACCTGAAAACGCAGGCTCTGGACAACAGGGAGACGGACAAGAAAATGAACAGCTTAAAGCCAGATCTCATTCAGCTCCGAAAGATTAGAGATCAGTACCTTGTGTAAGCAAAACCATCCTTCACACACCATTCCAAGTCATCATTACTGTTATGTTTGAGTTGACTATTTTTCTGTCAAGTATAAACACTCTACTGACTAATGCTTTTTATTTATTACGCAGTTGGCTAAATCATAAAGGTGTACGACAGAAACGAATCAACGATTGGCTGGGCTTAAAAAATGAGACCACAGATGAGTAAGTAAAGTTTACTTAACTTTTGAGATCATGGATTTGCAAGTGGCTCCTGTAAAGCATCTAACACATTTTCTAACTACCACAGTGCCTACTTTGTCAGTGAGGAGGATGAGAATCTGCCACACTATGACGAGAAGAGCTGGTTTGTGGGGGACCTGAACCGAACGCAGTCAGAAGATTTGCTACATGGCAAACCTGACGGAGCTTTCCTCATCCGGGAAAGCAGCAAGAAAGGCTGTTACGCCTGCTCTGTTGTGTAAGTATCTTAAGATGTAGAACACGGTTCAGTGAGTGTGATGCCACTAGTCATAAGCCAGTATAAGATTCTGACGGCATGATAACCATGGATAAAAATATCATGGTTTGACAGTATTGTGATTACTGCTCTAAAATATATTCTTTTAAAATGTCTGGGTAAACAAAAACAACAACTTTTTTCCCCTTTGAACACTATTTTGAGAAACATTTAACATATTTAGGAGCAGTAAACATGTCAGGCTAAATAATTCAAATGAATCATTGTCTTCTGCTGTCTTTATTAGTTTCAAAAACACAGATTTCTTTACAATATAAGCAGCATCTTTGGAAATCTTTTATGCTGAAGATACTGTTGTCCTAAAAAAAAAAAATAATAATCTTATACATACCTTAGGATCAGTAAACCAAAAAAGTTTGGCGGTTTTAAAACCTTGACTTTTCCAAAACCACGGTATACCTTAAACAGTTGTCGTCAAATGCCTAGATGCTAATGATTTGGGAGGGCAATATCTATGACTACATACTTCCATGTCATCGTTAAGTAAATATTTGGACATTTTGTTGATTCAATTAAAAAAAAAGTTATTAAGGCCATTTTGGGTTTCTTTATTTGTCACGTGGAGGTATATCAAATATTTACCAGTGAGCTAAAAGTTAGCAAACACTTTGAGAGTTACAGAATCTGATGTCCTATTTTTATTTATCACTCCAAAATGAACTTTTTGCAAATAAAAATTTGGATTAAATAATCTAGATTTCAAGAATTCACGCTTAGCTCATGATTTATATTTTTGGCATGCTGTCCCAGGAGAGAGCACTGAGCTCAAGGGATTCTCGGGCCCAGGGCTCCCTCCCTTTCGCAGGGCGAGGGAAGATTGAGCTTAGGTTGACTTCAAAACTCCCCCGCTGCTGAGGCTAAGGTGAACCTCCTGAAAGACATTTAGAAAAAGAGACTTAGGCTTATTTAGTCTGTAATATAGAGCTTATTTGGATGGTGGGAGAAAACCGGGGAACCCTGGGGAAACCCTCGTGGATATGGGGAGAACATGCAGACTCTACACAGAAATACTATATTCTTGCTAAATTCTTTCTGTGAGGCAACAGTGCTAGTTACTGGGCCACCGTGCCGCACATTCTGGATAAAGGTGAAAGAAGGGGAGGAGGGAGGTTTCTTCCAGATGAAGGTAGTTGTAGAAAGGAAAGGAGGATATATATAGTGACTTGGCATTCTTTGATTGGAGGATCGTGATTAGCTAATCTGGGCGAGCTAGGTCAATCATGAGCATGTGCTCCTCTCGAAATTAGTTTAATTTTAAACTTCACCTATATTTCTCAGTCTTTTCAGCATTTATTATACCAGTACCTTTTAACAGATACGCAGTGCACAACACATTACTGTACTGATCCCATTTGATTATGTTCTGTAAGGCTGAATCAGTCTCCTTTAGAGCGTTATTAACTTTGCCACTGATCACATGAATTGCCTTTATCTTTGTCTGAGGTCAAATTCTAGATTTGAACATTCATGATAATCATTTTTTTTCTGCCTACAGTGTGGAAGGCGAGGTGAAGCACTGCGTCATCTATAGCACACCCCGCGGCTTCGGCTTTGCAGAGCCCTACAACTTGTATAGCACTCTTAAAGACTTGGTCCTGCACTACCACCAGACCTCACTGGTCCAGCACAATGACTCGCTCAACGTGCGGCTGGCGTACCCAGTGTATGCACAGATGCCCTCAGGACCCCGGAGATGAAGACTTGCCCCCCGAAAAAACTAAACTCTTTACACTCCCAGGAGGGGGGGACAGTTTCTGAACAAATAACAAACAAACAAAAAACATTCAGACAAAAAAAAAAAGAAATAAACACTTGCTGCAACACACACGTCAGCCACCTTGGAGTTATATATTTTTACAAGAACAATTTGGAGGGCATTCTTTCTAAAGACTGCTTGATTTGCACAAGGAAGTTTTAAATGTTTGTGAATGTGAAAAAAAGCAGAAGGAAGCAGAGGAGGCGAGTTTCAGGTGACCCGCGCTGCTACCTAAACTCCAGCTGGGACATTTTACATGCTCCATTTTAGCTTTTAGCTTGAGCTTCTTCTTTTTTTTCCCCGATCTTCCTGCCTTTTTTTCACACATCCTTCCATTTTTCATTCAGCTGTTTTTTTCTTTCTTTCTATTGTCTTTGCATAACTCTTTAACGAAAATGTAAGGCAGGAAAAAATTTTAAAATTTCTCCATCTCTCTCTTTCTTTCTCTCTCTTTCTCTGTGTTTAACAAAGTTAAAACATATGTAGCAAACAGACGACTGACACTTTCTGAGTGTTCTCACAGTGACTGCTGCTGAACGAGAGGTTGTGGGAGGGTTGTTTGGGAGGGCACACGTGAAAATGTGTTGTAGTCTTAAAAACAAAGTTTTTTTTTTTTGTCCTAATTTTCTGTTTTTCTGGATCAAAATATCTGTCCTTTCTAACCAGAAAAGATCATTACAGTTCAGTACAAAGACCAAAGTTGGCATGGGGAGGACTTTTTATTATTATTGTTATTATTATTTGGCTTATATTAAATGAGCGGCAAGTTAATACATGTTTGCAAACGACACAAAATAGTTTGGGTCTGTGTCCTGTGGAGTACCAAGTTATTGTTAAGAACCAAAATCGTATGCACAGACACAGTTAACATAAAGCACTTATGTAGAACTGAAAAGTAAGCGCTGCATGTTTAAACACCAAATTTAAAAACAATGATTCACGTATGTGTCTGTGTTGTTGTTTTTTTTAACTAATGTGGCATCTAAATGTCTGGTCTAGAACAATTGGATTTGTGTAGCTCACACATACGATCAAGAAAACGTCGGAGCAGCGTGTATGTTACAGCAGATGTGCTTTAGTACATAACTTGAAATAAAAAGTGCAATCCAGCTTTTGATGGTAGCGAAGTGGTCTGTCAGAGAGAAACAAACTGCTCTCAGTTGCATCAAAAAGCGATAATCACTTGAACCTTTTGAAGAATTGATTTTGTTTTGTTTTGTTTTGTTTAAAAAAAAGCCCCTTTATTGCCTAGTGCTTCTCTTTTTAGCAGGTTGACTCGTTCTGTATCAGAAAAGAGAAAATACACTTTTCATTGTGGCTGCCTGTTGCTTTTAATGTCACACAATAAAACCTTTATGAAAATATATTTACAGCATGTCGGTATGTCAGTTACATCACTGTCCTGTTTTGGTCTTATTTTTTGTACTAGTAGGTTTTCTAGTTGAGTATTTCAGTTCACATAGGGTTTTTTTTTTTTCTTTTGTTCTCTTACAGTTTTCCCCTTTTCACAATTTGGCCATACACTGAAAAGTTGTTAGAGTTAGCCAGCTCCCTTACCCACCACTGCAACTACCCAACTGTTCCCCTCAATGCACAGCCTGATAAACAGCAGCAAATAAGCTGCAAACGAAATCGCATACTACTCACTAAGATACTATGTTTGAATTTGAATTTAATACACAACCGTTAGAAAAGGACACTCTATATTCATCTTATTTTTCGCGTACGAGCGAGCGCAGCCATATGAATCTTTTTGGCTTGAGACTTTCGCTCTTATTCAGTTCTATTCATATTCAGATGTTAAAAACGGCTCGTTACATTGAAAACTGACATTATCTTATATTATTCTACTTTGTCTGTATAGTTATGGACCCACTTGTATGTAGAGCGAGAAATTTGATCGTTTTCTGCCTTTTATAATATCGATAGTATACTTGTAGTATCTGTCGTTTATCGTTATCACGTGACACATTCACATTGGATGTCCCAGTGTCCACTGGATATGCAGTTCATAATCTGGCCAGAAGTAGTAGGTCATCCAGGTACATTTTGCCTATTGTTTATCAAATAATAGGAATTCGGACAAACTACTTGGCTCACATTCTGTTTTTTGTTTTCAGCCTAGGCTGAAAAAATGGTGTCTGCAAAATTGTTGCAAACAATTTATATGTGTTGAATTCAAACTAACAAATGAAATTTTGTGATGTTTAACTTTAATTTGTTTGAATAAATTTAGTCCAAATAAATAGTTTACAACCCCTTAACCACTAAAAAAGTTAGTAAATCCAATAAATCATCTTTGAATAATTTTTTTTTTTATTGTAGGCTGGTTCGCTAGTTTTAGCTGGTCGACCAACGCAATCGCACAACAATTCGTAACTTTTTGATTTAGTGGATAATTCGTATGAATTTGTACAATCTAATTAAAAAAATGTAGTATGATTTGCTCATCACCCAATGACGGTTGGGTTTAGGGCTGGAGTTGGGTGCCATGCCTCCTGTTTAAAATCGTACATTTTCATACGACTAAACTCGTTCGAATTTGTACAATCTAATTTGTACAATTTAGTACGATTTGCTTATCACTCAATGACGATTGGGTTTAGGGGTGGGGTTTGGTGCCACGCCTCCTTTTTAAAATCGTACATTTTCATGCGACTAAACTCATACAAATTCATACAAATTAGCCACTAAACTGACAAAACATAAAATACTTGCATTTTCTCGTAAGAACAGGCTGGGTTGACCAGCCTAGGTTTTTTAGAGGGGTTTTGGCCATTCCAGGCTAGCTTTCCGCCATTTCCAGGTCTTAGCTGGTCAGGCTGGGAGATGACCAGCTAAAACCAACTTGACCAGCCTAGCCAGACTGAGAGCACAGCCAAAACCAGCTATGTCCAGCTTAAATCAGGCTGGTCAAGCTGTTTTTTTTTTTTTGTTTTTTTTTTTTGCTGGTTTTAGCTGGTCATCTTCCAGCCTGGAAATGGCCTAAACCCCTCTGAAACCAAACCAGCCAACCAGCTTAGACAGGTTTACGCTGTTTTCTCAGCAGAAGTATGGGATTTTGGACGCATCAAAAGTAAAATTTATATTCAACTATATTGTCAAAATATTCTCCCAGAAAACTTTCAAATTGTATATGTGATTACGAATTTGTCGATGCTCACAATAGCTGTTTTTTCTCACAAGATCGGGTTGTTTGTTTGGATCAGCTGTGTCATACGAGACGGGAAACTTTAGTTGGAGTCTTCTGGTGGTTAGTTTGGTGGTGGTGATGATGGGGTCCAAACAGACAGAGCATTCAGTCAAATCAGCTGTTGAGATTAAGTTACATCCTCGAGCCCTAATGAAAACCACATGCAGCCGATGGAGGTTTTTTCTTTTCTCCCATCCACTGTTTATTTCAGCTGTTCATCCTGTTGCTATTGAAAGTGACTGTGGTTTGATTGGGTGTTATTGGCAGAACTCAGTGTTCTTGTCTCGTCTGCTTTACCATGGCTGTGGTACGGCTTGATCTCGCTCACCCAGAACATGCTCGCCTCTGAAAGTTGATTTTTAGTTCTGTGTGTGCGATTTGTTCTAGAAAACATCTGCGGAGCTTTGGTTTTACCATTTTTTCAATGGAACATTGTATGTTGCTGTGTTCAGAATCACAGGTCCAGTTTTATTTTTATTCTGTCCTCAATTCTTTTTTAATTATTATTTGTTTGTTTGTTTTTGCTTGAAGCTGGGTCCTGAGGGCCCCCCTGTCTATTACTTGAACTCTTGCATCACTCACCATTGAATGTCTTTAATAATGCATAGATATAACATATATTAAAACACAGGAAATCCCCTTTATGGTGCGAATGGAAACATGGGTGGACATATTTAGGAGTAGAACTCAACGTGTGTGTTTTGTCGAAATGAAAGGGGTTTATTTATGTTCACAAAGCTCAGATATGACAGATTATTGGAGTCCAATATAGCACACATCATATTTAAAGAGTTTTAGTTATTTAATAGGCTGGTCAACAACATGTTATGTTTGACAATTTACGCCATGACATGATATTGATTAAAGAAAGTAAAGAAAAACGAAATGTTTTAATCACTGTTTTGCTATTTTTATTAGCATTTTCCCACACATCGAGACCAAAGATTTAAGTTTGCTTTGATTACATTGTTTGGTTAGTACTAGTTTTAAAAAGATGCATACCCCACCCCCACACCCCAGTATTTCAATTGCCTTGCTTTCATGCAAACTTAATTTTGTGTCTTAGTTTTTGGGTTGCTATCGCCATCCCCTTGCTTGTCAGAAAAACATCTGTTACTGTCCGTATATATTTGAGGGCTCGCTGTGGATTGGCTGGGCTGCATTTGTTTTGTTTTTGCCATTTGAAAAATGATAGTTTGTTTACCGAACTGAGTTTTGTTAAGCCTCAAAGTAAACAGATCAGCCTAAAGCTGTTCATTTTTGCACTCACTTGTTTGTAATGGGTATATACTTTATTTGTGTGAGTGTGCCATCTTAGATTTTTTTTGTCATTAATTTGTCTTTTCAGTCACTAAAGTCAGCGAAATTGAGTGTCTCTAAGCATTTTTTATTTACAGAATAGTCTCGCAGACTCCAGATAGATTCTTTCTTGCTCTTTTTCATTGTTTTGTAAAATTCATAAAGAAAACAGACAACCCTATACCACACAGAAATGTATGTTTTTTATTTGTTTTTGTTTTTTAAGTGATTGTCATTCTCTGCAGGGCAGAAAGCAGTAGGGATTGCTTGCTTTCTTTGTTTCTATACTCAAGAAAGCATTTGTTTTTTATCGCGAAAGTTTTTTCAGGGACGTGAAAAGCATTGCATTGGGAATTCGTATGAGAGACATTTACTAGAGTGCTTTTTTTTTGTATTGAAGTGGGAATGGGGGAAGCTTGCAAATCATAACAAGCCGACAAAATCAACAGTGCATTGCTTCAAAAGCTCAGAGGGTTTGGACATGAACCAAAACAACTTTTTTTTTTTTCTTGGACTCTTAACTGCTGGAGTTTTCAGATAGACACGGTATACAAAGCAGGTGTTATGACTAGAAGACCTGGCTAAGGTTATTTCCGGACTGTTAACTAGCACTGGCTATTTTCCCCTTGTGCAGTTCTGCAAAGTTTTATTTGCAGTCAGGTTTGAATATGTTGTGATTCTCGTTGGGAGTCTTTTGTGTTCTTACCACAGCTGTCCTACCGTGATATCCAGCCCATTTCTTATATAAAAATAAAATAAAATAAAAACAAATGTTTTCAGAAAAAGGAAAAGAGGAAAAAAACGATCACTCTCCTTCCCACTTTGACATACGTAAAACCCAGCATGCTTTGTTACTCTTGACTGTTGTTTTGTGTATGGAAAAAACTTACAAAAAAAGGAAAAGTAAAAAGAAAAAAAAATAAGATGTGGAACAAAACTGTTATTTGTCTGTTTATGGTGTAGTCGAATATAAATTTTACTATAGCTTATGACTTTTTTTCATGCTTTTTTCAGCTGAAATAAGTTGGAGCCCTTTGTTGCAGTGACAAACTCAAAATGATGTTCAGAAAAACTGAGACAGAGGAGCTGAAGCAATAGACGACAGCGATTTTTCAGTACCGTTTGCACAACCTCTACCGACATGTAAAATGCATCTTATGGAAAACCTTTAAATTTCACTCTCAGATCAATGTATAGTTTAAATACACACTTTATTCTGCATAATGCAAAATATTTCCTCAACACCAGCAGTGTTTTCATCTTTTATAGACTCAGCTTGAGCAATAAGCCACGGGCCTTTGATGTCTGAGAAATAAAAAAAGCACTCCAATGAAAATAAACATGTTGCTCTGGCTCTGGTTCATATAACCTTGTATAATGTCTTCTTCGGACAAGTTATGGCACAAAAAGGACACGAGACACTGATCTCCTGTTCGTTGCATGTAGAGAACAAGAGACGTCAGAAATCCTCTCTCTCAGTATTTGAATATCATTGTTGCTTCAGACTTCTCGGTATTCTTCAGTTACGACTTCCGACACAAAACATTTTCTTGTATCTGTTACGATAGTTTGTATTGGTTGTAGACTCTCCATTTGTTATGAGGTGAACTCATGTATATACTCAATGGAACTCCACATTATTCAGTTCTCTTGCAGAATAAAGAAAAATATTTTGTTCAAAATATCCATCTCTGTGCATTTGTCTTGGTTTGTGCGAGCAGCTTTTATTATTATTAATAACACTGTCAAACATTGCCAAATCTAACATGCACATCTCTTTTCAAGATTAGTATGGTTTCAAAGTGGAATTAACCTTTGGTAACACTTTAATTTGATGGTTCGTTTGAGTTTTAGTAGACTGTCTGCTTAATATCTGATGATACTGCTCCTTCAACAGACATTTAACTGACTATAAGAAACTTTGCAAGTACATGTAACCTTACCTAACCCTAACCCCAAACTAACAGTCTACTTGTAATCTAAAGAGAATTAGTTGGCATGTAGATGCAATGTAACTTCAACAAACGGACCATCAAAATAAAGTGACCTAGACCTTCTAGTCGATTGATTACAGTTTATGTTGTTGATTTACCATAATATGCATGCAATTTAGTTTTTTGGGGGCATTATTTTTAAAATGTAGAGAAATCACTCTAAGATCATTTCATAGAAGCGCGTGTGCGATTCAGAGAAAACAAATGTGTGCACGTCTCTTCCAGATGTGACATTTATAAATAGCAGTTGTTGTAATTGTGCACACGCAGATGACTGCTCGCAGATCTCCGCCTTGCAAACGTCCCCAAATTAATATCATTATTACATAAAAGAGCACATGCCAATATCTGAATTCCAATGCATGTGTATGACAGAAAAATTCTGTCTGAAACTGGGGTCCTGCTAACAGAGGTGGAGGCTCGAGCAGGGACAGTTTTTGGAAGTGAAACTCGAGTTTCAGTAGTCTTATAAAAAGTGTGACACTTCACAATATTCTTGCAAAACTTAAAAAAATGTAAAATTAATTTTCATTTAATATACATTCACTGGCCACTTTATTAAGTACAACTGTGCGATTGCTTGTTAAAGCAAATTTCTAATCAGCCAATCACATGACAGCAACCAGTAGACATGGTCAAGACCAGGGGTCACCAACCCTGTTCCTGGAGAGCTACCTTCCTGCAGATTTTAGTTGCAACCCTGACCAAACACACCTGTTTGTAATTACTAAGTGCTGCTTTAGGTACTATTAATTGGTTCAGGTGTGTTTGATCAGGGTTGGGACTGAATTCTCCAGCAAGGTAGCTCTCCAGGAACAGGGTTGGTGACCCCTGGTCAAGACGATCTGCGGCAGTTCAGAATGGATCGAGCATCAGAATGAAAAAGAGAGGTGATTTAAGTTTTTCAAAAACTGCTTATCTACTGGGATTTTTATGCACAACCATCTCTAGGGTTTGCAGAGAATAGTCTGAAAATTAGAAAATGCCCAGTGAGCGACAGTTCTGTGGGCGCAAATGCCTTGTTGATGCCAGAGGTCAGAGGAGAATGGCCAGACTAGTTCGAGCTAATAGAAATGCTACAGTAAATCAAATGACCTCTCGCTACAACCGAGGTATGCAGAAAAGCATCTCTGAACCCACAACACATCGAAACTTGGGATGTGGTGGAACGGGTGATTAGCATCATGGATGTGCAGCTGACAAATCTGCAGCAAATGCGTGATGCTATCATTTCAATTTGGAGCAAAATCACTGAGGAATATGTCCAGTACCTTGTTAAATCTATGCCTCGAAGGATTAAGGCAGTTGTGAAGGCAAAAAGGGGTCCAGCCTGGTACTAGGAAGGCCGGTAATAAAGTGGCCTGTGATTGTGTATATAAATATGATATATAAAGTATAACACAATTATGGTAGCTGGTTTAAGAAAACAATGTGATTTGCCATTTCTTTATTTTTACAGTTTACTAATGCTAATACTACTACTAATGAGATGTTAACAACACAAAAATATATTTAGTACAAATATAAATAATATGAAAATAACAACAACAAAAAAGTTTAAGGTTATTGGCTCAAATTTTTTTTTACAGATGTTTATTTTATTTTGGGTTCATTTAGATTTTTTTGATTTATTGTGAATTTTAAGCATTAGTCAAGACTTTGCAAATTGTCCTAAGAATTAAAAAAAAATAACATGAAATAAACTGTACAGCCTACAGAATGTAACACACTCTCAACATTAGGTAACATGTTTTTTTTACGACGTTGACACAAGAAAATGTGTGTATGCCTGCACTTTAAAAATAAATAAATAAATTTAACTTAAAATTTTAAGGCAACCAGCTTCAGGACATTTTTGAGTTTTCTCAACTTAAATCAAGTCAAGTGCAGTACTGGGGTTAAAAGTTGAGTCAACTCAAAAAAAGCTTTTTACAGTGTGCTCAGAGCTTGACGTCGAAAAGTACTTTCCCACATTAAAAAGTGTTTTTGGTAATATAAACGTTTTGATGAATTTAAGCGTACACACACTCTAAGATCAAATCAGTAAGATTAAGATCACTCTAAGTTTAAACTATTTCAAATTTTAAACATAAAAAAATTTTAAAAAACTAAAATACACCTAAAACTGCGGCACTTCTATGACCATAAACATATGACACACTGCATGGGCTTGTCAAGGACCATCAAGCTGTAAACTGACTTTAATACTGACATTTATTACAGATGCCCCATGACGTCATCTCAGCACTTTTAATGAATGATGACACTATTTTGGGTTTTGTCTTATTCAACTAAATATATTTCATTTACATGTAAAGTTTGAGGTCTAATGATCCAATTTTGTGTGGAAAATGATGAAACTGTGTTACAGTATGTTGAATATAAAGACTTCTGTGCTCTTGCTATAGTGTTTTTATTTATCATTTAATGTACTACTTCATTTATTCATTCATTCACTTTCTTTTTGGCTTAGTTCCTTTATTAATCTGGGGTCGCCACAGCATAATGAACCGCCAACTTATATGTTTTACACAGCAGATGCCCTTCAAGCCACAACCCATCACTGAGAAACATCCATACACTCTCATTCTAACACATAACACTACGGACAATTTAGCCTACCCAATTCACCTGTACCACGTCTTTGGACTTGTGGGGGAAACTGGAGCACCCGAAGGAAACCCACACCAACAAGGAGAGAACATGCAAACTCCATACACAAATGCCAACTGACCCAGCCAAGGCTCGAAACAGCTACTGTGCCACCGAGACGCACCGACTTAATTAAATTTAATTCAATTCAATCATTCATTAATTTTCTTGTCCCTTTCATTTTCTTAGTCCCTTTTTTAATCCGGGGTTGCCACAGCAGAATGAACTGCCAACTTATCCAGCAAGTTTTTACGCAGCGGATGCCCTTCCAGCCGGAACCTATCTCTGGGAAACATCCACACACACATTCACACACACACTTATACACTATGGACAATTTAGCCTACCCAATTCACCTGTACCGCTTGTCTTTGGACAGTGGGGGAAACCGGAGCACCCGAAGGAAACCCACGTGAATGCAGGGAGAACATGCAAACTCCACACAGAAACGCCAACTGAGCTGACCCAGCGACCTTCTTGCTGTGAGGCAACAGCACTACCTACTGTGTCACTGCTTTGCCCAATTCAATCATTATATATATAATATTCTTAAAACTATATTTACTTATATATTTTCATTAAAACGGTTAACGATTTAGGTTAACAGTGAAATAATAAAATATTTTATTTTGATATTAAAATAAAATCATCTAAAAGTAAGCTGTACACCTGCTAACCATTGACAGTAGAAAAAAACTACTATGTAGGAAAGAATACTATGGCAGTCAAAAGGCTTTCAGCTTTCTGAAAAATATCTTCTAAAACTGTTTGGAACATGTAAAGTGCGAGTAAATTATGACAAAATTTTTAGTTTTCTTTGTCTTCATGTGAACACCATGCAGTCTTGTCTTTGACCCACATACAATTATTAATTTAATTATTATGCCATGACAGATGTTTTAAAACGAAAGCAATAATGTCTTAATATCAACGGATCAATTAATTAAAACGTACCACTGTGCTAGGAATAATTTCACATACATTTTAAAGTAAATCTTGCCCTTTTTACATTTTCTAAGAGTTAGCAGACTGTAGAAACCTGAATGTGTTTTGTTAGATAAAGTCTGATATTATTCCTGGACCTGATCGTTTGGCCTTCATGCATGTCCAGACTGTTCTGACCTGCTCATGACTCCGGATCAAGGGCTAAGCTTTGACTAAGTCCTCTGAGCCAAGTCTTTATCAGTCAGCAGCGCTGCGATACACTTTGTGCTAAGACGAGTATCACATTAAACACAGCTGTAATTAATGTTACACCAAAACAACATCAAATTCAAGGCATCTGTCCAGCTGCACAGATGATCTTCACTACACAGTCTGATATAATCTCCGGATTTATACAGAAGCTACTTGAAATACTATTAAAACAGGAGCTTTTGTTTTTCCAGGTTCTTGGCAAATTTTACAACCTCAAAATTAGCATGTGGTAGATTCAGTCAATGCCTTGCCCTAAAATGAAATGGCTTACATATTTTTAAAACAGCTTACATCCTAACTAACTATAAAGGTGGAGTAGGTCGTTTTTGCTATTAGAGGGTGCTTGTATTCACAACAAACAAATGTCTTCATTACATTCTTCAGGAGTCCTGCAGAAATCATGTTCATGGATGAGCAGAAGTATTCAAAACATATTATCAAGTTAGCATGAAGCAGAGTAAGGCTATAACTAAGCTATTAAACAATCTGCTGATGAAAAAATGTGACGTTACACTAAAGCCACTGTATGCCGCTGTTTACCACAACCTCGATGCACGTGGAAGCAGCAATGTTTTATTATACTAAAGTATACTTTACATATTTTATACTTATACTATTACATACATATACTTAAACTATTTGATGGTTCTGTTATAATGCTGCAATGTGCATTCTAATAAAACCACAATTTCTGTTTTCCTGTTTTCTATTAAAGCAATCCAAAAATTTGTCATTTATACTTCTGTGTCAAGCGCAGAAGTGCTGACAAAACAGGTGATTTTTGCTCAGCCTGCATGTGGACGCATAACCCTCACCATAGCCGTCGCCGACACGCACCTCT